AGGTTCAAGCCAACCCACGAAGCACAAGGGCAAGATGCCCTGCTTGCAAAACCCCAACCCGCAAAACGTAGTTCAAGACTTAGAATAAAAAAATCCTGGAACAACTTTCTTCTCCACGCCACCCATGCGGCAAACTCACAGGAGTCATGTCTCTCGCCGTGTACACGTGCATATCCGGGTTGGACTGGAGGACCTCCAAGGTCCCTTCCCACTCTATTCCGATCGATTGAAATTATTAGCCGTGCCTCTCCCGGTGGCTCTTCAATGGAGACGCGTAGCGTTTTACGCAGGGAATGAGCCGAGCCTCTTCTCCCGCCTCTCTCCTGTGTCTCTAGTCTGTTGTAGCTGACGGAACTGGCAGCCGAGCCGGACAGGAAGGAGGTTGGGGAGGAACATGGTCCATGGTCCTCTCCTGGAGGCTGAGAAAGGCTCAGAATGAAGGGCTCGGACAGCAGTGCGGTGGGGGAGTAGCCGGAGCTGGTCCCCAGCCTGCGCATGTTCATAGCTGCCAAAAGGAAGGCACGCTTAAGAACTCAGGGTTGACCTGGAAGTAAGGCCACAGGTGGACAATGAATGGCCGCTCCCATCAGGATTAAAAGCGGAGCGAAAGTGGAGGAGGCTTTTTCAGGAAACTGTTCGTTTGTTCGTTTGTGCCAGCCTCATGAAGATCTGTCTGTGCAACCTAGAGATTCTGTGCCCAGCCCTTCCTTGTCAACACTGAGTGTGGAAATATTTACTGGGCAGCTTTCCAAGATAGATAAGGTCTGAGCTATCAATTATATCTTTGCAACACTGTTCACCGGGCCGATGGCTGAATGTGAAGGCAATAAATTCACATTCATTTAATCAAAGAGGTTTTGCCGGTACACAAGAGTTGGCTTAGTGTTTTTTGGGGAAGCCTAGGATAGAACAGCGCCCTCTCTTACCCGCTGCCTTATTTTTCTCCCCCCACACCAGACGTACATCTTTGACTTAAGCGTCAACAAATACGAACCCATTTGCCACCAGCCGGTGGTAGCCAAGAAGCGGAACAAGATCACTCACGTCCAGTTCAACGCCATCTACCCCATCATCATCGTCGGGGATGACCGTGGCCACGTCACCTGCCTGAAGCTCTCTCCCAACCTCCGCAAGATGCCCAAGGTAAGTGGCTTTGTAAAGGGGGCCACACCTGCTCAGTTACTCTCCCCTTGGGGGCAGTTTCCCGATTGGCCCTCGTTGAGGTTGGCCATTCGTGGGCAATGTAAAATGGTTCCCACTGTGGTACCTCGGTATTCACCTGCTTTGAAACTCATCGAATTTGGTACTCAAGGCATTCTGATGGGAAAATTTGGTCCCAATACTCGTGGTTGGTTTGGTACTCGACACGCAAGCTAGAATTTGTCGGTGTCGGTGGTTGTTTTTGTGACTCACTATCCTTTCCAGCCAAAACGCGGAGTGGCGTGTTAGTCTCTTGGCCTTTGTGCATCCTTTTGCGTTCTTAGCTTCGCTTCTGTGGTCATTTTGTGTATTCTTGCATGTTTTTTTCCTCCTTAATTCAGCTAAAGTGAAGCTTTTATTTCATTTACTCTTAAGTATTTATTAAAGCTGATTAGGGGAGTAAAATATACGAAGAATGCTTGGAGGAATTGGGGGGTGTCTAGTTTAATGAAGAGAAGGATGAGGAGTGACATGGTGGCCGTCTTCTAATATCTAAAGAAGAGGGGGTCAAGCTATTTTCCAAAGCCCCTGAAGGCAGGACAGGACAGGAGCAATGAATGGAAGCTAATCAAGGAGAAATCCAACCTAGAGTTAAGGAGAAATGTCCTAACAAAGAGAAAAATTAATCAGTGGAACAGCTAGCCTCCAGAAGTTACGAATTCTCAAACACTGGAAGCTTTAAAGAAGAGGTCAGACAGCCAATCTCTTGAGAAGAGGGTTATGACTAGAAGGTCCCTTTCCCAGCTCCGTTATTCTGTTACATCTCATGTAAAGTAATGATGTACAACTGTATCTTTTTACATATTCCCTTAAAAGTTTGCATTGTCTTTGGTTTGGCAACACACTAAATTTATTTACATTATTCGTTATGTGAAAACATTGTCGGGTACTCATCATTTTTGGTACTCATTGCACCTTCTGGAATCAATTAACAACAAGTGTCAAGGTACTACCGTCTTTTGCATTTTGAGCTTGTTAGAATTTGAGGTCTCAATCTGAGCCGGAGTTGTGCAAGGCTTGAATCAGAATGAAATCCACACAACACTGTTTGAACAGGCAAAAGTTTATTCGAGAATGTAAAGACAACCCTGGAAGAGAGACCTCCACTTTAGGGATGGAGAGGCTGTTTGTACTTACAGGTTTTCAGTGGCGCTTTTGTGAGGTGCGGGTACACGTGTGAATGTGTCCTCTGTAATGTTTAATTTCCGGAACGTGGAGCTTTGGTGCAAATGTTCCAATCTTACTTTGTTAAGTGTGTAGGCCTTTCCCCTTCGATGCATGCCGGTGTGCTGGTTTCGGTTGCGCCCTCTCTGTAGCTTTGCCTTTTCCCTCTCTGCTATTACTGTATTTGCGCAAGTTAATTAGTTAATTAATTACAAGAGGAGGAAGTGGATCGGTTTTCTTTGCAACACCGTTTCCTAGTTTGGTTGCTGTGGGTCGTGTTAATAATCAAAGCGAGGGTCAGAGACAGCCCAGGACTAAATCTAATTTTGAATTAAAGTTCTTTTTTCCGTTATGAATATGCATTCCACAAATCTTATTAAATTGGAAATTGTTGGTCTTATTTCGGCCCACCAGCCTGAGAGCTTGAAACACAAGGAAACTGGCCAGGAAAAGGAAGGTTCTACTTGTAGGCGAGAAAAACCAACGCACAGGTACAGTATAGGTAGTACCTTGCTCAGTAGTAGTAACTCTGAGAGGGATCTTGGAGCATCACTTAAATAGGAGCCAGCCGTGTGCTGCAGCTGCCAAAAAGGCCAACACAGTTCTAGGCTGCATTTAAAGAAGGATAAAATCAAGACCACGTGATTGTATTAATACCACTTTATAATGACCTGGTAAGGCCGCACTTGCATCCAGTTTTGGTAGCCAAGATGTAAAAAAGATGTTGAGACTCTAGAAAAGTGCAGAGAAGAGCAACCAAGAGGATTAGGGGACTGGAGGCTCAAACAATTGCTGGAATTGGGTATGTCTAGTTTGATGAAAAGAAGGACTGGGGGGGTCATGATAGCAAGGTTCCAATATCTCAGGGATTGCCACAGAATGGGGTGGTGGTGGTGGTGTCAACTTATTCTCCAAAGCACCCAAAGGCAGGAGAAGTAATTCGCCTGGCAGGGCAGGAGCAGGAATTTCAGACTTGAAAGCCCGACAAAATTCACACAGTTGGGAAGACGCCAGGAACACAAATAAGCCACAACAAGACCGGATAAATTCACGTTTGCTCCCAAACAGCTTGCTACGCGCAGCTTCCCTTTTTAAAACACTGTGTTCCCAGCTGCAGCTAATGAAGGGAATCAGGGCCCTTTTCTCCCCCGTAAGCCATGCAACTCACGTTGCTCCCTTCTCCGTTCCTGTGTGCCCTAGGATGAAGAGGGGGTGGGCCTGGGTCTTCCTCTCAACACCCTCTCCCTTGTTCTACCTCTCCCCTGCTCTGCCCAGCCGGATTTTGCCCTCCCCCAGTTTCCTCCCCAGCCAACGGAGCCACATTCCCGCTCCCTGTCAGCTGTTCAGCTTCCTCCTCCGAGTCAGATTCCGACAGGGGCATGACAGAGCTTCTTTACCAGAAAACAAATCCCTTGCGTGTGTGTAATCCCACTTGGCCAAATAAAATATTCAGTTCAGTTCAACACAACAACTGTGGTGGGAAAGAAAGGCCATAAAAAAGGGGGCAAAACTCACTTAACAGCTGCCTCTCTTGGCAATGGAAACGTTGGGCCCTAACGCAGTCGTAAGTCGAGGAGTATCTGCACTCCAAGCACCCGGCATGCAAAACAAACGAACACGCGTGATTTATATCCTTGGACCGTTATTGACCTTATATTTTTTCCCTTCCAGAGTTTGAAAAGCAGTTTGCAATCAATAATGCATTTTAACACAAGGGAGGCCTTGAGCCCGCAAACAGCTAGCTGGAAAGGCTTGCTAGTTTAGCTTAGCACGGTTCTCGAAATGAGATCATGTTTTGCATTTCTGGAAAGGCGCGGCGGCGCTCAGGGTTTCAGCGATGTTGCAAAGCCACATTTGAAGGCCGTAAAGAGAAGGTGGTTATTATGCCAAGGAAGCTGAGGTGCAGCTGGGCTTTCTTCTGAGTCATCCAGACAGTCAAATCTCGCCCTTCCAATTACACTCCAAGCTGGCCTGATAAAATGACCCAAATAATGGCGTTCTATGAAAGGATGGCGGATTGGGGGCGGAGGGGCCGGATGAACCCCCTGTTTAATACAAGAGGAACAGATTAACAGAGTTGGAAGGGATCTTGTAGGTCATCTAGTCCAACCCCACGCCCAAGCAGGAGACTCTACACCAGGGTCTTCAGCCAGTTCTGACCAGTTCTGGAGAATCCGGTAAAGGAAATTTTGAGTTGTTTGGAGAACCGGCCAATCCCGCCTCTGACTGGCCCGGCCAACCCCATCTCTTCTCTGCCTCCCATTGAGTCCCAGCTGATCGGCTGGGTCTCCTTTGGTTGCCCTGCACGGGAGAACGGAGCTGGAAAGCAGGTTAGTGGGATGGGGAGGGAATGAGGATTTTGCAGTATCCTTCCCCTGCCACGCCCACCAAGCCACGTCCACCAAGCCATGCCCACCAAGCCACATCCACAGAACTGGTAGTAAAAATTTTTGTGAATCCCACCACTGCCCTACACCATTTCTGACCAATGGCCATCCAATCACTTCTTGAAAGCCTCCAGTGATGAAGCTCTCACCGCTTCCGAAGGCGAGCTTAGAAGTGGGGCTGGACAGAATTACAGAATTGGAAGGGACCTTGAAGGTCTTCTAGTCCAATCCCTATACCACTCTGGACAAATGATGTCCAGTCCCTTCGTGAAAACCTCCAGTGTTGGAGCACCCATAACTTCTAGAGCGAAGCTGTTCCACTCATGGATTGTTCTCACCGTTAGGAAGTTTCTCCTAACTTGGATCTCTCTTTGATAAGTTTCCATCCGTTGCTTCTTGTCCTGCCTTCTGGTGCTTCGGGGAATAGGTTGACCTCCTCTTCTCTGGGGCAACCCCACTATTTGAAAGGCTGCCACAAAGAAGTCGGGTGTGTGTGTGTCAACTTATACATCACAATGTCCTACTTGTCAACAAATACTTCAGCTTCAACCATAACAACACAAGAGCACACAATAGATACACACTCAAGGTTAATCGCACCAAACTTGATTGCAGGAAATACATGACTTCAGCAACAGAGTGGTCAATGTCTGGAATACTCTACCTGACTCTGTGGTTTCTTCCCCAAACCCCCCAAATTTTAACCTTAGACTGTCTACTGTTGACCTCACCCCTTTCCTAAGAGGCCTGTAGGGGGTGTGCATAAGCGCACCAACGTGCCTCCCGCCTCTGTCTTAATGTTCCCTTTTATTCGTATCCATTTCATGTATTCATAATCCTGTTTATACTTGTTATCTAATACTTGCTTGACAAATAAATAAGCGCGCACGCAATTTTTGGCACAGGAACCCAATAAGGTTAGCCACCACTGGTGTAGGTTTTTCCTGCTTGAAGAGAGGGTTCGGCTAGAAGACCTCCAAGGTCCCTTCTAGCTGTGATTCTGTCCTTCTGTGTTTGCACGGGAAATTGGGGTTTTCTGCAAAGGAAAGCCCCCCCTGGTGCTTTTTGGTCTCGTATAAAGGCTGGTTGGTGCATGGATCTTGTCTGTGTGATCCTTTAATGACGGGGAGGAAACCTGCAATTTTCCACGACCGGGGCTTCTCTGTGAATGAATGAATGGCTCTGCCTTCCCACACGCGGCGGTGGCCTTTTGCTTAGGCAGAATTTAGCAGCACTTGAAATCTATCCAACGGCAACGTAAAGGCACCCAGTCTGTGCTTAAAAAATCTTCTCCCACTCCTCCATTTCAGTTGAACGGCGGCATTGCGTTTTTTTGTCAAGAATTGTTCATTTGTTCTTCCGTTATTCATTCGGCTGCTCTTTGGTCTTGTC